ACAAACAAAGATACATAGATAAACATCCCCACATTGTGCTTGTAGAATCTTTTTTTTTTTTTTTTTTGGTTTTTCAAGACAGGGTTTCTCTGTGATTTTGGAGCCTGTCCTGAAACTAGCTCTTGTAGATCAGGCTGGTCTCGAACTCACAGAGATCCGCCTGCCTCTGCCTCCCAAGTGCTGGGATTAAAGGCATGCGCCACCACTGCCCGGCCTCTTAGGATCTTTAACAAGGTCGCCATTACTCTTGCTTGCGTTAGAACCTTTTCTCACACAATAGATGCCCAATAAACAGCAACATAATGAATGGATAGATAAAAGCATTCCATGATGTCTGGTTCTTTATAAAAATAAATACTTTCTTTTTATTGGTAACTATACTTCATGATGTGTTCAAACTCACAACCCATATTTCTTTTAACTCTGCCTTAACAACCTGGACAGAGATAGTTCAGATGATTTGCACACAGTTTTGAGTTATCTGGATCATGAAGCATTTCCTGAAGCAGACGCTTCACCTTCCTGTACTCATCTCTGAATATAAGCAACCGGTCTCCCAGGCCATATCTATACTGGAAAGAATATTCAGATAATACTTTTACAAAACAGTTTTACTCCCTTTAGATACCCCACCCACTGCTTTTGGTGTACAGGCAGGTATCAAACTCTAAGAAGACCACAGAGGAAAATGTCATTCTGGCATAGCAAACACTCTCTCTCCTCCTCTACTCGTGAATCTTGCAAGCATTCCCAGATTCACACCAATTCCCCAGTGGACTCAGCCTCAGTCATACATAATCTAAAAGATGAAAAAGATAGCAAAACAATGTCTCTATGTAAAATCCAATGCAAACACTCCCCGTCCCCCCAAGTGAGCAACTTGGACAACAATCTCTCAAGGGTTCACCTCAGGGGTGGCTGTCAACACCCTCTAGGAATTAGTTAAGGAGGTTATTATTTTTTTTATCCAGCATCTTTAGAGCACAAAACCATCTTTAAAAACAAAGACAACCTCCACATTCAGACACTGTCTTTGAAATCCCAGACAAAGAAAAAGCAGCTGGGTGTATTTTAGAAGACAGCAGTAATTTTTTAAGAAGCATGAGAAAAGAAAACACAGAGAGAGTGGGGTGAAAAGAAGGAAGGATGGAAGGGAGTGAGAAAGAAAGGGAGGAACCAAAAAGAAAGATAAAAGGAGAAAAAGGAAAGAAACTAGAAATCAAGCATTACTGAGTAAGAACAGTCTAGAGGCTCTAATATCACCATAGCTGTGAAAATATGGATTTAGTTTTCAAAAATCTTCCTATCTTTCTAACAAGCTTGAGTCCATTGTTAATCCTCCTTTGGTCTGTCGCCTTTGCTAGCTCATGTTTGCAATTCAAACTTCTGCTCGGGCGTCCTCTTCTTCACTCTCCAGAAAGCCTGTTTTCAGACTGGATTCCATAGGCATGGGAAATGCCTACAACTTTTCTCACCTCTAAAGCAGATTTCTTTCAGAGGAAGCAAACTGAGGCGCTTTTGATTGGCTTTGCGGAACAGTAGTTGAATGGGGCCTTAAGGAAACTGTAAGTTTCCTAGCTAGCTCCAACACAAATGGCCAGAATGAACGTCTTCCAGGGACTTCATGTGTATCCCTGCCGCTAAATCTTAAAACATGACAGCTCACAGAGCCATACCTGACCCTTTTCCAATCAATTTCCTGAGTTTTCTCATTTTAGATATTTAATTCCTCAAACTCCAAGTTGGAGTTTTTAAGGGCTTCGGTAAAAATGTAAAAAAATATTCACCATAATATGATTTGAGGGATAAAGCCCAGTTTTGTACTTGGCCAGAATAAATTAAAAATAAAAACTTTTAGTATTATTTCAAAAAAATCAATCTCCTCTTGGAATTTCCTGTACCATATTTGCACATATTTGTTGAAAAGAACAGCTAGATGCTTTGCTAAGTAGTTCATTCCCATGCTGGAAGTGTTTGAAGAGAAGAGAATGCCTGTCTAAGGTGCAAATGTTTAGATAGCATTTTAAAAAAATAGTAGTTTTTGGTACCCATTTATGTGTCTGCAAGGACAATGAAACCAGTGGTTCCTGCTGGTCCTACAGTTCCTTGGGGTTATGAAATTTGTATTATTTTGCTGATGATAAGTTAGAAGCAGCAGCAGCAGCATTTTGCTGTATTGACAAGGCCTGGCCAAGAACAACAAGAAAAAGAAATGGCATTGAAAAAAAACCTGGCAAAATGTTTATAAATTCTAATCCTCTACACATGAATAAATACATCTGACGAAGTGCAGAGTCCCTGGCAAAGGCCCCCTTGACCTTTCTAATTTGAGCTCAATTGCATCTCGCGGTCGGGAAGCTCGTTGGTGCTGTCAGTGTTTGAAGCTCCAGCTTCAGCACATTTTGTTATTTGTAAAAGTGAAATCCCAGATAATAAGTCATAATTGCTCTATTAATCACTTGTGGGGGGGTTGGAGGGAAATTGGGATTTTTAAATTGCAGTAATTGGTAACTAAAAGACGTCATTTTCATTTTCTTATCCAGAGATTACCACATAAAACTGCTGTGGAAATTATATGTAGGTATTTTGGTTAAATGGTGAGACACATGCAATATGCCTTATATATTATTTTTTTTCTGCAGGAATGAAATTTAAAACTTCAATGTAGTCACAGTGACCTTTGACCTGGAAAATACCCCAATACAGGCATTGGATTATAAATTATATTGTCAATGAAAGTGAGAACTCTTTGTTTCTTGAGTTGTTTCAAGTATTACACATTCATTTCCTCTTTCTACATGAATTATAATGTACAGCACACTTGGATTTTTCTTCCACTTTTCATTTTAAAAAAATCCCCTTCTCTCTTTGCTTTGTTCTTTTTGGTGTAGAAAGATCTGCTGCAGCAACATTTACCTTTCAGTGCTCAGTCTACCAGCCACATCCGTCTCTCCTGTAGCATCCTGTAGGGAATCTAGAGCCTGGTCTACATCCCTAGGACCTTTTATAGGAAAAACTAAACTCCCCTTTCTGTCGAGTGGGATAAACAAATGTTAGATTTTGTTCATGCAATTGAAGATGGCCAACGGACGGAGACAAGATGTGGCTTAAAATATTAAATTGAAAAATAAAGTTTACTAAACCATATCCAGAGAATTAAAGTCAGTTACACAACCAATATCTCTCCCAAATAATTCCAGTTATTACTTCCTGACCTTTATGTCTTGGCCGTCTCTACACCCTACAGATTGACTAAGATTGGCGAATCGTGCTTTTATCCCCTAGGTCAGAGCCTGGTGTTCCCTAAAATATAAGATCGCTGGAGAGATTCGCTACTTCCCTGTAGATGCTTTTTGGAAGCGAGAACTTGGCTGAGCACAGAGATTTCAATAGGAAAGGACTCATCTTAAGGACCGCACTGAAAGAGAGGCTCTGAATCTGTAGCTGCCTTCCACATAGCTGGAAACGCATCTGCCTAGGCTGCCAGGTAATGCTTCTGTCTAGGCGGGACAATCTGTGAAGCCACAATGCACAGCTCATCCCGGTTTTCTGGTGCAAACCACCGTTCTGCTTAACAAAACACTCTCATAGTCTTTAGGCTTATAAAGAGATTAAAAGCCACATACAGCTGGTTCGAAAAGGAAACGCTATCTTGTGGGCAAGCAGAGCCGCTACAATTGACGCCCCCAACATGCACCCAGCATTTTGACCCTCCTTGATCGCCTACCCCTAAATAATTCCACATTGTGCTTGACAATGATAGCTTACAGCAATCACAGAAAGACTGTTTTTTCATCTTTGATACTGTGAGTGAGTGATGTATGAACTGCAAGAGCAGCCTACTATTGATGCTAATCATTAAGTTGTTACAGTCTCCCTAAGCTCCTCGCCAGGAGGCTTAAGTGCTCTGAGCACTGTGTAAAATTGTATGACAGTGTTAGACAGTCGGTGCTGCAATATTCTTTAGAATTGTAAGTGTACTTATTCAATAAATATGGCAAATAATCATGTGGTGTGACTTCAGACTCATGATCATAGCAACAGCACAGATTCTGCGTTCAGCGTACAGAAGAAAAAGTAGTTTTCCATGAATATACATGCAATATCCTAAGGTTTTGTTAAAAAATAAAAAACCCACGAAAGGCAGATTTCAAAAACAATTTCACGAATAAGAAAAGCTACATTTCCAGTTCAAGTTCACAATAGAAAGGTAAAATTCTCTCCCAAACTAAAAAAGGAAACCAAAAACTAATTCATTAACCTGCCATACAGTCACTATAAAAACCTAAGCAACTTGACGATTCTAACCAACACACAGAAGCCGTGAAATAGTTGCTGAGTTTCAATGAATGGACCTAAAATCTTGTCCGGACCTAGCCGCAAATGTCCAAGTGACTAGAAATGAAGTCTATGGAGGGATTAGCAATTTGTACTGCATGTTAGGTGTGCCATGCGGACCTCTGATCTTTTAGATTCAAGTTCTGGTCCTAGGTCTCCTGCAGTGCAGCTGGATGGCAATAGTGGAGTTTTCAACCTTCAGGAGATCCCTCATCACTCTCAGGAAGAGAGGACATGATCGCAACCTTAGAAAAAAACATTTTCAAATGATGAAAAAAAAAAAGCCTAAGATTGTTTTAAAAATGGCTTTGCTTTTTCTGACAGTAACAGGGAATTTCAAAACTTTTAAAAGTTTAATTTCACATTAAATGATTCAGTGCTCATTTGATTGGCTCAGTAGACAAAACATTCTTCTTTCCAAGTGTTCACTGCTCAGTTTTTGACTGTCTGAATAACTTGATTGGCAGGAATGCTGTGTGGCCACACTACGGGGGAAGACAGCAGAGCACGTCCCACCAAAGCACAGAAACTTGTGGTGCCTACGTCCTTCATGGTGAAAGCTGCGTAGAACAGTCTTCTTTCTTAGATTAAACAATCAACTTTAAAACACACTTGCATGTGTCCTCCTCCTCTTACCCCTGATCTGTACCTGCGGTTCTTACCTCATTTCCCAGAAGGGCGTTTATGCAGGCTTCAGATGCGTCACAGATGGCTGTCAGATCGTGGCCTCCCTCTAGAGCCAAGGCCACACGTCCATCGGCCAAAGTCATCAGCTGCTTTGTCAAGTGACCAAAGCCTACCATAAAAAAGAGAACATTTCAAAGCATTAAATGAAGGGAAAGTACACGTAGGTAACAGTGGTTGAGTGTTTACTCTGTCAGAGTTCCTGTTCAGCATTCTCAGCACTTCCTAGTGGCACCTCATGTGACCCACCATCTTCTTTTCTCAGTGTTAGAGACAAGGGCTTGAACGCCCAAGACCCCACAGATAAGAACTGTCACAAGACTTGAGCTCTTCATCTGTCTCCTCGCCCACCATCTGGTGACAAACTTGAAGAGGCTCTGAAAGTAACAAGTGGTAAAGTGCTTGACTAGGCTACATCCCCTTCCCCAGAGCTGTGCACACGTGCGTGCACGCACACACACAGATCATGTTAACAAGGGAACCCATCCCATTTGTTTGTCATGGGCTCCTTGTCTCCATCATTAATCATTATTATAAAAGGAAAGTTAACAAACGTGACGATTACACATCGTTCAATTTTTATAGTCTTTTGCTATAAAATACTTGATAAATGCAAATATATAAATAACATCTATACATTAATAAGCTACGAATGAACTGACAGCAATTTCACTTGAATCTCAAGGAAAATAGTGTTAGCCCTTCTGTCGAAAGCCGGTATGTGCCATTCTCCAGTAGCGTCGGCTCCCTCCATGTGGGAACGAGGAGTCTGGGTTCGCTTTTTAAATTCTATTGTTTTCCTTTGTTTAATTTGCTTCCCTTCAACCCTTACAAAAGCAGTTTCATATGTGTGCAGCTTGCTCTCCTTGCCTTGTGAATCTTGCTTTCTCTACTCTGTGCATGCATGAAGCTACAACTCTTTGCTGTCTAGTAGGCAATCTCATCTCTATAGAATTGACTTGCCCAGTTTTCTATCTATAGATATTCGGTGGTGTTGTTACAAAACTTTTAGGGTTTTCGTTTTTTTTTGTTCTTGTTATTGTTGCAACCAACATTGCCAAGATTATCCTATGAAGGTCTTCTGTTGCACAGATGTAAGAATGGAATGAAGTTGTGAGTTAAAACCATTAAGTAATGCCAGATTACTTCCAAAGGTCCATCAGTAGCCCCACACTGAACAGCAGTGCCCACGAGACTTCCAGTTCTGTTCTACCACACCCTTACCAGCCTGCAGTGGGATTGCTGAGCAGGTGGATGACAGTGTCTTATTATGATGGTTTCATTAAGTGTAAGAGAGGAGCTTTCCCTTTCTAGTTTGAGCTGAAGTTCCTATTTAAATAGTTGTAGAATTTGGTTTTATTTTTCCTCTACACGAACTGGGTTTTTTCCCTAACATTTGGGAATATTGTGAGTTAGAGGCATTCATCAGCATTTCTGTCACAAAACCATCTTTGCGCGTGTGACATAAAATAAGCTTTCCTCTGATGCATTATTTTTTCTGTGTGCATTATTATTCGTCTTGCCAATATTTTCTTAGGGTGTTTGGATCTACGTTCACAAATGGGGTTAATCTTTAACCTTCCATTCTTGTGCTGTTATGATTGTGGTGAAGCTAGGGAGTCCTGCCGTTGTTATCTGGTCTAGAATGTTGAATAAATATTTCCTCTAATGTCACTTAGGCTTTGACTTCTCTATGACAAAGGTTTTTGACGATTAATTCAATTTTTTGAAGAATTATAGAACTATTCGTGCTATTTCTTTTTCAACTATATTTTTCTATGAATTCATCCAATCATTTACATTCTTAAATTTATTGAAAATTTTTTCATTTTTATCTTTTATTATTTCCAACTCCAATGATATGTATGTAAACTTTGTCACCAATATCTCTTAAATTCTTTCATATTTTCCACTTAGATTTCTGAGCAATATTTTCTGTTTTTACATAAATTTTTTTTCCTTCAGAGCTATCTTTCAAACTTTTTCTTTTAGAAATTTCCAACCTGTTGTTTAGAACCATTACATACATACATTTATTTATTTATTTATTTATTTGGTTTTTCAAGACAGGGTTTCTCTGTAGCTTTGGAGCCTGTCCCTGAACTAGCTCTTGTAGACCAGGCTGGCCTCGAACTCACAGAGATCCACCTGCCTCTGCCTCCCGAGTGCTGGGATTAAAGGTGTGCACCACCACCGCCTGGCCCCACTATTAACTTGGAGAGATTATATTGTTTAATTGCAGCATTTCTATTTGTTTATATTTCATAATTTCCCAGTTATTTTTATTGATTCCTGTTCTGTGCTTGTGTCTTCTATGCATCACTGTATTTCCTTCAGCATGTTTTACCTGCTGCACCTTGTATTTAAATTCTTTCATATTAGTTGGCTCTTCCTTTTTTGTCTTGATTCATCTCCAGTTTCTTTTAGTTTCTTACTTCTGTGTTGTTTTCTTTTGCTTTTATTTTTTGTCTATCAAGTTCACATAGAGATTATATATGAGAAATCTTTGAAGCCTGGCGCAAGAGACTGAGCGTCTGTGACCACATTCCCACTCTCCTCAAGTGGATATGGTGGAATCCTGACTCCTGAGGGGATGGTACGCACAGGTGGCCTTTTGGTGAGTAGGTGATAACCTCATGATTGAGATTAGGAAAGGGAACTCCAAAGAATACTCTAAATATTTGGGTTTTTTCTCTATTTGATTTCCTGGCAAGGAGGCCACTAGAAGCTGTAAGTACAGAACCGTTCATTGAAACCAACTGTACTGGTTCTCTGCTACAGGTTTGGCAATGGTGAGGGAAATAATTCAGTTGCTTCTAATCTATTGTTCTATTATACTTTATCATATCAAACTTAACAAGGACATTTTATTGAATGTAGCATCTGTCTTTCAAGCCCGGTAGAGTGTAGTTTAGTTTCTTCTGCTTAATGCTTAAGATACCATCATCTAGGTCCATTTTACCATCTTGAATTCAAGGGTTGATTTAGGATTTTGATTCTGCATAAACATGGACTAGAAATTTGATCACATTCATGAGGAAGTTGCTTGATTTTTTTCCCACCTCTTTGCTTTCTCTTCTGGCTTTCTTTTCTTCTCTTGCTAATGATAGACCAAATAGGCTGGCCATCTTTCACCTGCGGTTTTTCTCTTTTGAGTTGGCATTTTGTTGTTCTTGGGCTTCAATCCCTCCCCCATTATAGAATCACTTTGTGTCTTACGAGTCTGTGGAGTCTGACAAAGGCAGAATGCCATGTGTCCACTATCCTAATATCACAAGAATTGTGGCAACGGCCCTAAGAAGCCCGTTTGCTCGACCTCGTCAGCCCCTCTTTCTGCTCAGCTTTTGCTAATCAATGGTCTTCCCGCTCTTCTGTTTTGTCACCTGCTTGGTGCTTTCACAAACTCAAATTTTTAGTTTATTTTATTACTCTTTGTAAATCAGAGAACACATGGTTCCTTGTCCTCTCACTGATACAGCACACATTTGGAACCCCACATGGTTCCTTGTCCTCTCACTGATACAGCACACATTTGGAACCCCACATGGTTCCTTGTCCTCTCACTGATACAGCACACATTTGGAACCCTTGTGCATGCCTGCACATACCAAAGACTGACACTGCAGGAATCGATCTGAACACAGAAGCGCATGATCTAAAGACATGTCTGGCTGCTTTCCATCCAACACGTGCTTTTCTCTGAAGTATGACAGTCTCATACATGAAAAGAAATCTCTGGACTGTTGTTCGTAAAACAAAGCTAGAACCAATGGGATGGTCAAGTAAAAAGAACACAAAGCTTCACAAAGTGGCTTCCGTGTCAGAACAACAACAACAAAACATAATAAACAACATCGTTTTACATTCTGGAATGAACTGGAGCATTCACCCAATCAACAAGTGTAGAGTGTTCGGTTGTGCTCTGACATTTGATCTCAGCTATGACCCCTATGAGATGGCTTCCCCACAACTCCCCAAAAGCACTGTTAGGTCAGTCTTAACCACTTAACTACTATTCAGATGGAAGTCGAGACAGTCACCTTCTACATGTCCTATATTCTTACGTGGTTGGGAAATCACGTTCAACAGTACACGGAAAGCAGGCAACAACAGCTTCCTAGCTGTCCGTACCCCTCACTGCCTGTGGAGCTGCTGGTCATTTCACACTGGCTTCTTCACATGAGGCTGATGACAGCGAGCGCCATTGTTACCCAGGGAGTAGGAACGGAGGAGAGACGCTCAGAAAACACGAGATGCGAGGTGCTCAGAAGTGTCCTTAGCCCAGCCAGCATCAACAACATGGGGAAACAGAGAAGATCCCAGACAAGGTCACAGGTAATATTAAGTGTTCTAAAGAGCTTCTTCTGTAACTTAACCAGGGCTACAGCGGCCGTTTTCATGATAGAATTCTAACGCAAGCCCACGTACCACGCATTTCATACTGATTACTCCTAGAACTGGAAATGCAGTGACGAAGGTCTCATTGGCAAATCAAATTGTGGGTATTTCTCCAGCAAGGGCAGAGGAATCCCAGGTTGATTCAAGCTTAGTTTTACCTTTGAGAATAAAAGAAATGTCTCATAAAATGCCAAATTTAGACTGGATAGTAAAAAGTCGGAGGGAATAGTGGAATGGGGCTAATCTTTGATCTCGCTCCAAATTCCTCCTCCTCCTCCCTCCAGGCTCTGTTTCCATTCATGTGCTGCCCATGTGACCCCTGGAGTCAGAGATGGTGGCAGCTGAGCTCGGGTGCTTACGTGTGCAAAATCACCAAGTACGGCACAGAAATGAAAGTGTTCCCTTCTAATCTCAGTCAGCAATTCCGGACGATGCTGCCATTCTTTATCATCCCAAGCTCTTCTGTGTTCATTTCTACTGCACACGTATGAAGCAACAAAACGTCAGCTGAACAGAGATCAATGAATGCCAAGACATCACTTTTCAGGACAGGAGAGTTTGAATAGAAGCTAGGCCTGGGCACGTGTCTATTGATTAGAGTCTAGGTAGCTAGTTTTAAAAACTATCAGCCCAACTTTCATGTTCTTGTGTTACTTCTAGGTTCACAAACATCACAAAAGTTTTTCGCACTTTTCACAGCCCACCAGAGTTAAA